TTCTCGAGACCTCGGTTGAGTGCCCAAAGATTTCTCAAGATATTAGGGGATATTTTATTGGAGGAAAATATTTTGTGCAAAAATGTATTAAAAATACCCTTTCAAAAATTTGATGAGGGAAATATGATAAATTCCTACAAAAATTCCTACGTAAAAAGATATGTAGCAATTCGCCAAAAACATAAATTTGGACAAGAAGTATTTCATTAAATATTTATTTTGACTGTAAGAAATATTACTTAATATAAAAAGTATTGTTAAGTATGAGTATAAAATAATATATATATATATATGTGTGTGTGTATATATAATATAGTATGTAATAGTATAAAAGTATATACAAAAGTATATATAAAGTATATATAAAAAGTATATATAAAAGTAAAAATAAGCGTATATATATAATTATAATAAAGTATACTTTATATAAATATAAGTATATATAAAACTATGTATAAAGTATAAGTAAGTACATATAAAAGTATACATAAAGTATATATAAAATATAAGTAAGTATAAAAAGCATTGTGAAGCATTTTACATATATGTAAATAATTTTAATGAAATTATATGTGAAATTGTAAGTATATATAAAGTATAAGTACATATAAAAGTATACATAACGTAGTATAAGTATATATAAAAATATAAGTAAGTATAAAAAAGTATTGTGAAGCATTTTACATATATGTAAATAATTTTAATGAAATTATATGTGAAATTGTAATATTTTTTTTTTTTTTTTTTGCATAATATAACACGAAATGCTTGAAAGAGACGAAGCTGTAGCAGGAAAATAAGATTACAGGAGCCAGTCTATTTAACACTGAGGTAAATGTCTGTCTCTCTAAATTGGCGCGATATCGCGAATTTGCCACTCATTGTTATCATCAAATTTCATAAGAAATCGCCAAAATTCGCCAAACCTGGCGACATTTGGTTGCGGTCCCTGCATAACTGTGATTAAATAAATGTAATTAATATATATATATGTGTAACTGTAACCGTATCCAGCCCTCATATGCCTTCCAATAATTTCGAGAAGTGAAAGGCACTACAGATTTCTACTAGAAGAGGATTTTATAGTAAATATTGAGTTATCCAACATGTTTTATTTTTCGTAAAAAGAAATCAGCCCTTCTCTGCGCAGATAGTCCTCGAGTACTTTACCGTAATCGATTAAATCATAACCATAAGATTTCCCCTCTTCAAGTCTTTTTCATTGAGTATTATTTTTTAAAATAAATTACGCCTACTTTAGCCGACACCTTTTCCGTCATAGAACTCAGTGTCATGAAACCGACATATTTTGTGACACCGCATCTGCAGCAACATAGGGTATCATATTCATGATAGATGATGCAGCACTTTATAGCTACTATTCCAACGACTGCAAAAGAATAAGTTTGGGAATGAACATGTCATCATCAGCTCCTTTTTTTTTTTTTTTTTTTTTTTTTTTTCTGGGACATCTCGGCCACCCGAAAGCCAGACTTCTAGTTGTGGAATATTTTTGAAAGAACCAGGTGCTTCAGAAAAGTTGTCAAAATCAACTAGATCTAAAGAACAGCATTCGATGTCAAGTACTGCCCCACTGACATGTTCTTCGGCAACGTATACATATATAATGGAAACTGATACTACGAAAATAATTTAGCTTCAAAATTGCAATTCAGTTGAAAATAAAATACTGTTACGAATTTTGTACTTAGGTAGATGATTTTGGGGCAATTATATGTGAAATTGATGTACTTTTTCTGCATAATGTAACATTAAGGGGACTCATACACCTTAAACACCCTCATGATCTTCGAATATGTGACTGTTGCAGGAATTGAGATATTTTATTTATTTTAAAAGCAATTACTTCCAACTTTTTACAGCTGACTACATAATATAGCTGCTTTGGAAAATAGTAACCAGAATGATTGTGTTGCCACAAATATTTTTGTAATTTAATCCTCTTTGTGACATAATATTTCGCCATGTTTCCACCTTGCGCGCATGATATTTTAAAAATGGTAAATACTTGAAATTTGAAGGAATTCTTTATATGGACACTATTTTCTAACTGAACCAACAATCTGATGAATATTTTAATATTGAAAAATTTTATGGACGAAAACATTACAAATTTTTTTAATAAAATACATTTTATAAACTCAACTCAAAATAAAATAAAAATTAACAACGAAATTTTTAGAAATTTAGGTTTACGGTAGTTTCCAAATGTTATAAAAGCTATATATTAAATATGGAATTAAATTATGAAACAGACCGTTTTAAACTGTGCGCGCAAGTTGGAAACATGACGAAAAATGTTGTCACAAAGCGGATTAAATTATAAAAATATTTGTGGCAACACAAACTTTCTGATTACTATTTCAAAAAGCAGCTATATTATGTAGTCAGCTGTAAAAAGTTGGTAGTAATTGCTTTTAAAATAAATAAGTTATCCCAGTTCTAGCAACAGTCACATATTCGAACATCTTATGGGTTTTAAGGTGTATGAGTCCCCTTAAAAGTCTAGAGAGAAAAATGCGGAAACAGTAAGAATAAATACAGCGGCAAGTTCATGATTTCAGTAAAGGGTAGACTGAACAAACCCTCATTTTCATAATATACCGGATTATAGGTTTATTTCCTGTCAACAATAACATCGCATCGATAGGTGTGGATTTCACTCACTTGAACTGCAATTTCAAACGAGGTAGAGAAAATAAGTGTTGTGTGATTATGATGACATACGTTACGATCGTAAATGAGGGAAGGTTGTAAAGATTTTCAAGAATTTATTTTAAAATAACAGACTACAGCAGGTTTCTGGACGAATCAACCATTTAAAATGTAAAGGAAAACAGCTAAGTTTCGGTCTATTTTCTTTCACCTGTTTTATGCAATATGTAGCATGGAATATTGAACCGATTAGAACAGCAAAAAGTAGAATATGAATGCACTTTTCTTTTAAAATGATACCATCCCTTTCTAAGATATCAGAAAACACTTTTACAAAATTAATTCCTGAATATTTTTTTATTAACGAATAAAAGTTTTGAATAAAAAATAGGTTAAAAAAATTTTTAAATCTGTAGAAATTTCCGCTATTTTTTTCCACTCTTATATGAAATTTAACGAAAACTAAGTTATAAAATAATTTAGGTTAAATTAAAGTGAAAAGAATTTAGTTTCAAAATTGTAATTCATTTGAGAATAAAATATGATATAAAGCATTCAAATTAAATATTAAATTAAAAATCTGTTGTGGACACACATATTACTTCTTTATACGGCCAATAGATTAATTAAATTATTAATTATACACATTGTTTATTAATAATTTACAAAATATTAATTATACACATTGTTTATTGCGTATTATAAATATTTTGTAAATTAATTAACTAAATTATACACATTGCTTGCTGCATTTAATTTAAATTTATTTCCTCGAATTTTAGAGATATATTTATCATTCAATTAATTCAGTTCTCACTTCGCGACAAAGCAAAAATACATAAAAACTCTAAACATCTTCATTAAAAATTGTAAAATACGAGTTTATTAATTGTTAAAAATTGTAAAAATTGTAAAATTAAAAATTCATTAAAAATTGTAAAATATGTAAAATACATAAAACATCAAATACGATTAGATAAACAAAATTTACAATTAAAAGTAGAGTTAAAAATAGAGCAAAAACAAGCAAATCAGTCAACGGGCAAAAAGGCAGATTTTTCGGTGCATAAAATTGAAAGTCTACTTTTGGTTCCACTAGGCAAAAAGGCACTGAAGGTGCAGTGTACAGACATTAGTTTAATTGGAAGCAGAAAAGATGAAAAATAAGCAACCGCCTTCGCCGGGAATCGAACCACGGACCTCTGGATACCGGCCCAGCGTGCAGAACCACTACACCACGAAGGCACGCTAGGAAAGTGGGAGAAATACCTTATATACTCCCCTTTTTAAAGGGCGACTAGAGTTTTAGGAGACCTAGTCGCCAAATCCTGGGTATGGACAATCATCATCCACAACCCTTTTAGTTCGGGCGCCACTTGTAGAGACATTAGGTTAATTGGAGGCAGAAAAGATGAAAAATATGCAACCGCCTTCGCCGGGAATCGAACCACGGACCTCTTGAATACCGGCCCAGCGTGCTACCGTTACACCACGAAGGCACGCTAGGGAAGTAGGAGAAATACCTTATAGCAGAAACTGACTTAATTCACTATTTTACTGAGTCTCCAATGTAAACAAATTGCGGTGTTCGTTAGGCTTAACTAGTCAGTTAAATTTTAAATTGTTGATAATTCTACAGCTATTGCATGCAGATTAACTAAAGGCATCAAAACCTTAACCAGAACATTAAAAACCACATAATTCAATCACTTTTAAAGCAAAAATTTTAAAATAAAAGCCTAAGCTTACCGAGCCAGGTAGCAAAGGAGAATATATATACACATGTATTTATATACGACTGGTGCGGCCGATTGCAGTAAAAAGGGGAGGAGCACAACTACATCTTATAGCAGTCACACATACGAAATTTCAACATTCTACGGCTACACGTGCTGTTGGTGTGCGGGATATCTAAATACGTATATACATACGTACATACGTACGTACAGACGTCAAAAAAATTTCTTCTGAATCCAGATTTTACTTTTTGTCAGAAACAGCCCTTTATTCTGTCCGTGCGTACAGATGTCCCACAAAAATTCATTCAAATGGTTTCGAGAGCGGTTGAAATATGACACCCGAAATTTTTGCGATTACAATTTACTACGAAGTAAAAAAACAACCGGATTTAATTTGAAAATAACTAGTAAAGCTACAAATTTAATATTCTATTATTAAAAATCTGTTTTGAGGATAACTGTAATATTGAAAAAAAGGTGTTCTCCTTTAAGATGTTTCATTAATTTCGGTTCCTATCATAAAATTTCTTAAGCGAATTCTGAAGTATTAAAAAAACTGAAACACAATGAATACATAAAGCTCACCGTTGAGAAGGCGAATTGTATCAGCTGACGTAGTTCTAAGCGCTTCTTCGTATTGTGCTCTCTTTTTAACTTCAGCTTCCAGCTGCTCTTGAAATCGCCTCCTGGACCTTTTCTCTTTTTTTAAACGCTTTTGATACAAGACTAGAATAAAAAGAAAATAAGAATAAGCAAACCACATTAATACGACAATTTTTAATCGAAAAATAAAACAAATAATTATACATACGTGCTTTTTTTGCTTTTACTGAGTATCACCCCCCCCCAAAAGTCTTGATTGGTTTTAATGTGAAATAGATGTAATTAGATTGGTTTTCATTCATTTTTCTGAGCTCGATTGTTTGATGACAAATGCTAATTACACTCTTCTTTATTAGATTTTATCTGTTGGTATTTCACGTAGAGCTTATTCTCATTTTTAATATTTTATTATTGTTTATTTAAGCAAATTAATTATCATTTCCTTTATCATTTGCAATGAAGAGAGGAATATTTCCTATTGTTTGAAATTCGTTAAGATCTCTCGATCTTTTAAAAGCCTAAAGAAATTATAAATAAAATAAAATGATCAAGATATTCGTTCTTTGATTTTGAAAAAAGTAATCTAGAATGAAGTCAGTTATCAGACATAAATAATTAAGTTTTTAAATCGAAGATATTTGTTAGTTATCATCAAAAGAAATATACGATGATTATGATAGATTATTAGAATAATTTTAGTTGGATTTGTAAATAATAAATTTCATTATGTGAGGTGGAAATAAGATAGGGATAAATTTAACAGACGATATTTAATTTTTACATTATTATTCATGTTTAATTTTATCGTTTAACACTGAAAATAAATAGATGAAATTATTTTTAAAAAAGAAAACAAAATCTGAAAGAGCTCAGATTTTGAATATCGCCCAAAAGAGGATTCCTTAAAGCTTTTCTTGCTGAACTCGAAGTCTACCAGTCTGCTTCTGCATTCACACCTGATAACTCATTTCTTTTTGTCTTTTTAGCTTTATAATTAAGCATCATTTTCCTCGCACTTACGCCATGTACAGTTCAACATCAAAATTACAAACATTTTAAAAGTAGCATGTGTTTAGAATTCTAAATGAAGTGTTAAGTGTTGTTACATTTTTTTTTTTTTTTTTTTTTTTTTTTTTTTTTTTTTTTTTAGTCTTTTCTCAGATTAGCGCATCAGTGTCCCCAGTTTCCTAAAAAACAGGGCATACAAAACTTTTTTTTTATCTTTTTATTATTAAAGTTTTGTGTATTTAATTTATTAATTAAATATCATGTTCTTCACACTTGAGCGATATAAAAGTCAATTGAATAGCAAAATCACAAGATATTTAAAAACAGCAGATCTTTAGAATTTCCTATAGACAGTCTCACGCGCTGGAGATGCGAATGTTTTAACGAATGTTGCAACTGTTCGCTTTCAAATCGTTGAGTTTATTAAAAAAAACTCATTAAGGTTTAACAAAAACATGAAATATAAAATCCGAAATTCCAAATTCGGGCTTCCAGATGCTCATATACAGGTGGAGGACTATGTTATTCAAAATTGGGGATGGCCCTAGGTACCATGATTTTTTCACAGTGCGAGAAACATACATACATTCATGCAAATTCTTCATTATTTAATTTCTTTAAAAGTAATACAGGGTGATGCTATTTCGTGGAAAAAATCTGAAAAGTGATTCAGGCATTTAAAGTGATACACCGCCAAACCCTGTTTCGAGACTGATTGCTCATTCGGTCTAACGCTGGTTTGGATTGAAAATTCCTACATTTCGTAACTTCATCTTAAAATATTAAATCTGTCTAAAAAATGAAAAAAATGTCCTTCCACGATCACAGTGATCATGCAATTAAAACAAAAGGAAAGAAAATTTTTATGAAAGGAAAAATAATCTGAAGGCTTTCAGATTTTACATTACGCCCAAAGGGGTGTTTTTTAACGTTTTGTGTGCTACCTTTATTTATTAAATATCATGTTTTTCGAACTTAAACCACGTAAAATAAAATTCAACAGCAATATCACAAAATATTTAAAAAGAGCATATCATTAGAATTTCTGATACATAGTCTCCCGCGCTGGAGATAATTATTTTCGGGCCGATATGCTAACTACCCAGTGGACCGGCTGCCTCGCTGTCGGTGGAAAGGAAGAAAGTGTTGCCATTGATCGCATTTCAAATTGTTGGGTTCGTTAATAGAAAATGCATTAAAGCTTTATAAAATATGAAACTAATAATAATAAAACACACTCGAAACTGAAAATTCGGCTTCCACTTGCCCATGTTTGGGTGGACGTCTATGTTATTCAAAATTTGATGGTTCTAAGAATCCTCGTTTATTCGCAGCGCGCAGAACATGCATACGTACATGCAGCTTCTTCATTATTAATCTTTAAAAATAAAAATGGTGGCAACAATTGATACACCGTTTGTAGTAAACAGCAGCAAAATGTTTTCAGTCTAATAGCCTTAATAACCCTTTTTGGACTAAATGTTTCATATTAATACAGAAGTAGTTTTTATTAAATTTACTTCATACATCAATGAATAAATGTTACTTTTTATTGATTTGATTACTTTTATATGCTCAGTTTGTTTACGAGTTTGTTCCAAACTTTCAAATGTTTGTTCTAAAAATATACTTATTTCTATGCCCCTTAAAACAATACTTTTCCGCTACGAGTTTAAAAAGAGATAATACAAATAAATAAGATCTGAATAATTTACTACGAGATATAGTTATGAGGCTAATTTAATTTTCAAGAACTTCAAGCTGAGAGTCTTATGATTTCCAGTATAACGATAATTGAACAAATAATATTTTTCTGAATAAATATTTCTGGAGTGATCATGTTTCATTGGACAAAAAATAACCTACTTTCGTTATTTTACGTTCCCCAAAAGAAAAATCCCAAAAATGTCAAGTCAGAAAACATATTTCTAACTGACACATTCCAGTTCTTAAAAGGGAATAGAGAACTGTTTTGATTTAGCCGAAAAAGTGGGCCTTTTATTATTAGTTCTCTCGTTTTGGCAACCATAAAGCACCAACAGCAGCAGCGGCGCTAACAGCTGCATAAAACGGTTCGGCATCCGGAGTAAAAAACAATAAAAGCGTTCGGAAATACATTTTTAGAGAAGAAAATAAAATAAAATCTCCAGCTTTGAGTCATGGGATTGAGATGAAACCGAATAAACCAGTGCTGAAACTCTATAGATGCAGCCATTCGAAAGAGAAATGTCGCGAGTGAATGCACAAGTGGCGTAAGTCGATGTCAGTCCATTCTTAAAATTTAGAGTTAAATAACAATATAAAAATGATCTTCCAAGAAGTCGTCACACAATCCATTCAAATCTGCCCAACAGTTTTAAATGAAAATGGGTTTCCAGTAAATTTTACGTCAGACTTTTCATTCACAAATTATCACATTGTTTTAAAATAAGAAGTAGCGCCTGTAATATGTCAAGCATACTAAACGTCTCACAAAAAAATAGGCTAATGGATATTTACAACAATTCGAAAATAGCAACTATGGTTACATAACGCAATATATCGTATGAAAGAAAAATAATAAAAATCCGAAAGGCTTCAGTTTTTAAATTACGTCCAAAGAGACATTTTTAACATTTTGTCTGTTACATTTCTTTATTAAATATCACTTACCCCGCCCTTAAACCATAAAATTCAGTTCAAGATCAAAATCGCAAAATAGTTTTAAATTGAGCATATCTTTAGAACTTCCGATACAGAGTCTCGCGCGCTGGAGATAAAAATGTTTTTTCTGTACAACGTTGCCATTGCTCACTTTGAAATCCTTGAGTTTGTTAATCAAAAATTCGTCAAAGTTTTAAAAAATAGGAAATCGATCATAAAACAAATTTCAAATTTCAAATTTGGGCTTCCATGTGCCCATATTCGCGGTAGGATTACGTCATTAAAAATTCGATGGCTCTATGTACCATTGTTTTATCACAATGCGAGAAATATACATACATTTATGCAGATTTTTAATTATTTAATTTCATCAAATATAATGCAGGACTCTAACATTTAGTGGCAACAGTTTGAAAAGCGAAAGGGACATTTATGCAAAATCGCAAAACGAAAACAATAGTCCTTCAGGAACATTGAAATGTTGACATTTAATCGGGAGATTTCCAAGTGGGCATTTCAATTGCCATATGCGAGTCTTTAACAGATGTGGGTCGAAGAAAATTAAATCCATGCTTAAGTAACCAACCAAGAGAGACAAGCAATAGAATTAATCACTGATTGCAAAAGTTTCAGCTTTACCTTTCTCCAACATTATCTCAATCGTCCAGAAAAATCGTACACATTAAAAATAGAATCTGTTCGTACACTTTTCAGAAGATTTTGCTTTGCTATAAAAAACCGTCTACTTGGAATTTTTTTAACCGCTTGTCTGCTTGTTTTCATGCAAAATGGCGCTTTTAAAGAAGCAATTGATCGAATGATTTTGCTAAGCGAAAACATATTTTCTCAATATTTTGATAATTTTCATAATATTTTATTTTCAAACAAGAAACGCAGAAAAAATCATAGAGATTTTATAACTGAAATTTTTTAGTTGAATTTTAATATTATTCAGGCGTTAAGATTTAGTTTCATAAGTTCATTCATTTAGTTTCATTCAACCGTAACTATTATTTTGTTAGGAAAATAAGTGAAATATTTAAACGATATCCGATATTTTTAGTTTTTTTAAACATTTATTTTTTTTTAATTTAATGCAAGCTTTCTTCGAGAGGTTACAATTGTGCTTTGAAATTTGTACCTTGTAATTTTTAGTTTATTTACTTGTTTTCTAATTTCCAGCTTCTGCATTAATTTATATTTTTTCTTTTGAAGCGCTAAAAAATATTTTGAAAAGTACAAAAAATCTAGCCAAGAAAAATATACACAAACAATTACAAATATATACCTTAATCGTTTTGTATTTTTACACTAGAATATAAATAAAACACTAAAGTCAAAATTTTGACTTTCTGTAGAATCAAAACCAGTTGATACTGGAGCACAGTGTCGTATTCATACTGTTTTTCCCCGCAGCCGCCTATCCATAACCGCGAATCGAATGACGTCATAATCAGCAGACCACAGCTGAG